CAGGAGGCCAAATTCAATATATTTGCCAGCAGCCATATCACCCTGCAACTCACCACTGGCAGCCCACTGAAGCTCAGCAGGTGTGAGCCTGGCCAGTATCTGGATGGGAGACCTCTTGGGAAAAACTGAGGTTGCTGCTGGAAGAGGTGTTAGTGGGACCAGCAGGGGGGGAACTCACCCTGTGGTCTGTGTGGGTCCTAATGCCCTCATACAGTATACTTTAGAAAAGCACCGTCCTCCGGAAGAGACGTAACACTGAGGTCCTGACTTGCTGTGGTTATTAAAGATCTCAGGGTGTTTTTTGAAAAGAGGAAGTGCTACCCCTGCAACCTGGCAAAATGTCTTTACCAATCATGGCCTCCTAATAATCCCCATCTGTGAACTGGCTTCATCACTCTGTTCTCCTCCTCACTGAGAGCTGGTGTGTGGTGAGAGTACTGGCGCATCATCCAGGTGGGGCTGCACACTGGTGGTGGTGGAGGGGATCCCCATTACCTGTAAAGCGCGTTGAGTGGAGTGTCCAGAAAAGTACTATATACAGTACATAGTTTAATATTAAACAACACCCAACACTATTGGAAAGGAGTGAATACTTTTGCAAGGCACCGAATGAATGTAAATAATAGGACAATGTTTCTATAATATGCACAAAAAATCTTTGATAAAAGCATATTGTAGGATGAAATTAGATTGCAGAGTCCAGGACACCAGTGTGTCTATGCAGAGAGGGCTGCAGTACCTTCACACATAGAGAGTCTATGGAGGGACTCTCAGGGCTTCAGCTGCACAGATCCAGGGCAGTTTGTCAGTGCACTCATGGTTTTTCCAGTTATTGAGGGTACTGACACCAGCTTCAGCAGCCACACAGGACCGTCTCTGTTCGCCATTGTAAGGTTGTCCAGGTTTCCAATAAACGTACCTAAAACAGAGCATCATGACCTTGTCATGAACACAGCCACAGAGTCAATTAGCTTCAGAGCCAATGCACAAGATCACCAAGAGGAAAGCAACCTGCTCTCTACGCTATGAGCTTTACTTCACAGCTGCGGGCAGTGTTAATACATCAAAGAATGTCACTCTACAGCCCCAGCAGAGAACAATTGAACACCTGAATAAAATCAGCACTGTACAGTACAGTGTCCTCACCTCTGCAGCCGGTTTTCATTAACCCAGCGCCAACCTCTCTTCTTGCAAACATTTCTCAGCCCAATCCAGAAATCTTTCTTTGACTTTTTCACCATCTTCCAGATGAAGGCCTGAACCACAACAAAAAGGCAGTCAGTACAGGGCAGAATGGCCACGTCTCTCTATGGGTCCGTCAGTGTCTGTAACTTGTAAGTGCAGATCAGTGTCTGTGCAGTTATTCAGTTGGGAAAAGGCAACATCTTGCTCTCTATGCTCTCTCTATTTGGGCATCATAGCCCATGTCTCTATTGCCCCAGTTCCTATAGTGTGGGAAGAACACAGACAGAGGCTTATGCAGAATTTTGAACTGCTCTTCAAATCACTTGTGGATGATTTCATGCACACAAAGCCTTGGACTGCAGGTCATATTTAATATTATGTTTTGCCATCAGTAGTAGCACTACTACTAAATTCCTGACACAGTAAATGTATTTCAACAGGGAGCCATTTTATGTTAATATTTACTTTAACTTACAAAACCTAATGTGACGGTGTTGAAGAGCTGACAGCTTGAAAAGACACTAAATCAACATGCGCCGCATGACTAAACTAACAAACTAATAGCAAAATCATTAATATCATCCTTTACAACTGTTTGAATAAACTGAGCACCAGAGTGAATTCCAATAGGTTCTTTACATGCTGTGATGTCAGCATCTCAGTGAGGTTCTCAAGAGATCACTGGGGTCAGGACATAGCAAACAGGCCAGCTGTGTCTCAGAGCTCTGAGAGGAAGATCTGGTGCCCGATAAACTAGGGCAACAGATACTGCCGGGGGTTGTGCTGTTAAATCACAGGGCAGTGAGACCCGAGCCTCAAAGACTGTGTCTTATCTATCAGAGTCTGTGTCTCCAGGTGGTACAGTGGTATTGGAGTGTATTATCACGAAACCTACTGAAGCTCACGGTGTGTTGCACTGGCTCCTGTCAGTCCAGTGGAACTGTGAGGTGACACTAAATCTTACCTGTTCCTGCACACTGCCGATAATCACCAGCCGTACCCCCATTGAGCTGCAGTAAGAACGGCTGTTTACCCAGTTCATTGTCTCAGAGGAAAAGAAGTAACATTTCTCATTGTGCTGCAGCCAGTTCTTTGGACAGGGAGAACAGCGTCTCACTGCAGGGTGACAGACAAATCCTATTATACATTGACAGACACACTGTACCCACCATATATTCTACTATATACACAGATCATCCTACTACACACTGATACACTTAATAACACTGCTGTACTCAATAACAATGCTGTACAAACTACTGTAACTATCCTGTTATAGACTGATAGACATACTGCACTTGACACCATGACTAGGTTCATTGAAATATATTGTGTCTTTCTTTTTTTCACCACCGCCAATATCCTTTTGTTTATCCACTGCTTTGACACTGAGACAGGGATGCCGTCGCTTGGAGTGAATGACCACAACTCTCCAAATGACTCTTTCACCTGCCACTGTATTGAATTTAAATCATGTGACTTGCATTCTGAAACTGATCTCTCAATTGAAATTATTTTTGTTCTGAATAGAAAAGCAGGATTATTTTCAGATCCCATAGGCTTGGCATTATAGTCCATATATTATCTTAACTTTTATTTACATTAACACCAACATTAATATACGCATATATGATTTATCTCTCTTTAAGTATTAATCATACTCACTCTGTGTCTCACTGTTAACAGGACAGTACTCCAGTATAACAGGGAAGCTGTCTGAAAATGCCTGTAGAATTTTGTTCAGCTCTATGGCTTTTGAACCAATACTATTTTCCCCCTCCTTGAATTCCTTATTGAAAGCAGCCAGATTGCTGTGGTTCACTGTGTGCTGAACCAGTGTATCACTCAACAGGTCAGTAGCACTGACACTGTGAGAGAATACGTTATCTGCATGGAGAAGATAAATGTCATGAACCTCAAAGACTTACACACATGGACAGACACACACGTACACTCTTTTCCTGGCTTTTGGTTCTAAACACAAACATAAGACATGAATCAGAGAGCTGCGAGTTGATTTCCCACACCTGGAAGAATCACAACAGCTTCCAGTCCACTGTGTCCTTACTAAAACACACACAAAACGATGATCCTCCCAGAATTCAAATAAAATTATTTGCATAGATGAATTTAAGAAAGACTCTGGAAAAGTGGAAAAGTGAGTGGAAGAGTGCTACTGATCTAGGGATATTCTCCAACATTGATCAGCATCCTTATGCAGTGATCCTCTCAACTCCTAAAGGGAATGTAGATGTTAATGGTTTCACAGAGCCCGTTAAAATCCGGACAGGAGGCAAATGTCCAGGAGGCAAGTGTGTGTTGTTGCCTTGACTCTGTGTTCAGTATTTCCGGGTGTCCTATCCATTTGTCAGAACACCCCCAAAGGAGTGGAAGCACCCAACCTTTTGTACGGTAAGTTGTTCAATCTCCAGCAGCTCTGGCTCAAAACTTACACCACCTTGCCATCAGTCACTGAACCACAGGACACTGATGATGCTGCAGTACGTGTTTTGACAGAAATGGATCTCCAGACGCTTTTCAACATATTAATTGAGGCAACATGAGTGGATGGGACTTAGACCCAATATCCAGAAAACTGGAAATCGAGTTGGCAATGCACAGATTCCAAAATCATCTTCATAATAAGTGTGTGAAGAATGGAGGGCACTTCTCAGACTTCTCTAGATATCTGTAACAGAAGTCTAATACTGATCCAGACAACCAGCATTTGCAGGAAGTCTGCAAGTGGAGCCTTTGGCCACTTGAGGAAGCGGGTTTGAGGATTCAATTCAATGTCTCAATCGAAACATCTAAACAGAAACCAAACTGATGGTCATGCTTTGGTCTCCATTCCCACTTTAATCTTCAAGGCACAAATGGACAAAACCCAGGAGATATTTGAAAGACCTGGCGACCTCCTTTTCCACCTAATCCATCAGGAACGAGTTTACGTTTCAACAGAACAGACATTTCAAAGATGTGGTGAAAGCAAACCAACAAATGCAACAGCTCCTGGGAGAGGTAGCCCCTTGACCGAATCAGACAGGGGAAAAAAGTGTCCGAAAAGGAGAACAGCAGCTTTGAAACTCAAGGAATCACATGGAGACTCATTTCCTGTCGTTCAATGCTTCGTGTCCTGCATTACCATGTGCACGCTGATACAAGCAACCCTTCGGTTTGATTGTGCGCTATACTCACAGTAGACACTCAGGGCTATGATGACAGTCAGCAAGACAGCACACATCAGCCCCAGACATGTGGTGGGTAGTCTGTAAGGACGTGGTCTGACGTCTGATTCCACCACACCTAGTGGAAAACAACACATCACGTTACACTGTTACACTCTTAGAGATCCACAGGTATAGCGACAGGAGTTCAGCACTTATCTCAGGATAAGTTGCAGGGACTTGACGCCTAAAGGTATTGTAGAGGTACCAGAATTGCTATATACTAACATTCTACTCAGGGGGGACTTAAAAAGTGTTAGATTGTAATGTTTGACAAATGGAGTTAAGGGACTTGATGAAGTGTCAACAGTTACGCTCCCTTCTGCATTCACACAGTAAAAATCATTCTAGTATATAACTTAATAGTAAAGTTTTAAAAAATTTATATTTTTTTTTTTGCCTTGAACAAACAGCTTCATGCCTTTTTGTGTAGAGCACACAAAACCACAGGTCCAAGGCCACTGTTCATCACCTCAGGCAAGATCCACCAATGGGGTGGATATGCAGTGTGAGAATCAGAACCAAACCTAGCCTCCTAACCATTCACTAACTTGAAACATTGTACTTTAAAAGCAAGAACCAAACTCATTTTCATCGGTTAACTCACTGGCTCCTCAGTTCTCTCCAAATGACTTTTCCAATCACATGACTTAAACCTTTCTCCAAGTTGCCAGGACAAAAGAGTTAGTAAGTACACAATTCTATCTAGGTTTTTCACTTAATTTCATTTTGCAAACGAACCAAGTTCCCCTACTTCTTGAGCTGGATTCCAAGAAGACAGCTACATGCAGACTGTTTCTAGTATTTAAAGACCAAAGTTCAAAAAGACACTAACTATTGAAGCTCCAGAAACACTAGGCAAAGCTCTCATTTTTGTCTCATCAAGGATGCTTGGCCAATGGATCTTTGAGTATAAAACGTCTTTATTTACATTACAATCTAGAGAGTTTTAACTATTATTACATACATGTTTAGTTCACAATAGTAAATGCATCTTGTTTCTGAAAATATAAGTGTGATGTAATTATGTAAGACTGTTAAAACATAGGGGGTAGACCATAAGTTATAGTCAGTGTTTTAACTCTGAAGTTATTAACTCTTCTAGTAAGCTACGAGTGGAAGATTATCCAATCGTTTCAAAGCAGATCATTTCACAGATATATTACATAAATTGTACATTGCATAGTATATTTAGAATCCATGTGTGAGACTGTAAATTATGTTTGATTGATTCTTTAAAGTCATCAAGGTCAAAGTACTCTCGCAATTTACCGTTACAATTTTCGGATTGTTACAGTAAACCAAAACTCTCACAACACTACAGGCTTTTTGTTTTCATAAATGTGACCCGAAGAACACTTGATTCAAATGTTAACCGTATTAAAATACTTTTAACTCAGCTAAATGTATCAAAAATGATTATTAAGTATGAGTATTGCAAATTTTCATCACTAGTGTTTTATCTCTGGTGATAGGACAGGACATGACAGAGAACTGAATGACTGAATAAAGGAAGGAACACTCTTCCCTTACTCTCTTCCTGAAAAACCACAATAGCAAAATTACCAAAGCACATTTATATTAGAGTTGGAGCACATAGAGAAGGAGACAACAATGGAGGGGCTTTTGTTACACATTAAATTGTACAGTAGGAAAAGGCTGTACTTGCATATTTGTCTGAAGCAAGAATGCCTTCAGTGATCTGAGCGTCTATAGTCTAGGAATGCTGTTTACAATTCCATTGTTTTGCTGTTAAATCACATTCCATGTAACTATTAACTATATTTTATACTTTCCCTTGTTGAATTAATGCTAATTTTGTTGTATTTGCCGTTTTTAAGAGTGAAATCTGCAGGTGATGTCATTGATGAGGGCAATAGGAGTCTAATCCCCTATTTCCCATATTCTGTACTCAAATATTTACCAACCATGAAGTTTTCAGGAACATAACCTCCAGGTTGGATGAAAGAACCCTGTATTTTTTTTTTCTGTCAGCAGAAATACTGTTTTTTTTATAGCAGATCTCCTAAAACCATGAACAGAAAATGCTCAGGAAATATTGATATCAACTCATCCCTTCAAAGCTGGCTCATTGACTAGGAGGATTATGTTTTAGCCCCACATCTAGTGCAGTCCAGAATGCAGATAATTTTTCACCAATATGAAGGCATCATTTTAGCATAAACCTATTCACTGTAAGGCACCTACAGTATCACTCTGTCTGTACTCACCTGTTTGCTGGGATTCCGGGTTCCTGTGCACAGTCTTACCTATGTCTATGGTGTCGTACACATTCTCTTTTGGATAGACGAGATCAGTGTAAAAACCTTCTGACTCCATAGCCTGAGTTGTATGTAGTCACTTGGCCAAACTCAAGAGCCTGAACCACTACATCACTGGGCAGGAAGTCTGTGAAGTGTGATAATATTGGGTCCTGAAAGAGGAATATCAAGCTGCCCTGTGTTCACAGGCAGCTAGGAAAGCTTGTATAGGGTTATGTTTATTTTTCCAGTTTTTTAATGTAGTTTAATTAATATTGTATTTCATTCATATAGGCATTAAAGGAGGGAGCATTATTTTTTTTTGTGAATATGATATCTACACAGTACTTATACTTACTTACTCTACACGCATAACATAATATAAAATTCTAACATTCACCTTTGAATGCTTAAAGAAAAGGTTTTGCTGGTCTATCCAAAACAACATTGTATATACAATATACAGGTGACAAATAGATGTGATAGAGTTTCTTTTCCAGCCTTATAGAACACACATAAATCATTTTGCTCATGCTTAAATCTAGAAGGTATTAGTTTA